CCCCCCCCCCCCCCCGGGCTTGAACGACATGCCACAACGAGTGTATACACATAAATAATCAGGGAGCGCGGAAAGCAATCCTATCGATCGAAAGGCTCTCGAACGGCAGGAACCAACAAGGCGCGAGAGCTGACAAAACTCAGCCATACCTGTACGACTTGATGCAAAGAGTAGGAGCGTCTCAGCGAACGCGGCAGGTCGATGTCCTCCAAGTGACCCTTCTCCATCTCCACCAGCACGTGATGAAGCTTGGGGTTCCACCTACGTTCGGGTTCGGAGATGATGGCAACAGAGATGACAGCATGACAGCAACATCGACAGAAAAACGGCGGCATGCGCAGATGTAATTGCTACTTTCGTTTCGGCACCAAGTGACTCTGTGGCATGTTCCGCGACAGTATCATCATGCGATACCGTACGCTCGTTCGTTTCCATCTGGCTCGCCGTAGAAAAGACGGCAACTAGCAACGGATACAACATTTTCCTCGCCACGTAATTCTACTATTGCTGAACACGGCAAGTCCCTACCTCATCAAACTATCGCCAAAAAAAAAAAGAAACAAGAGATGCATCTCGATCTGAATCAATGTCTCTCTTACCATCTGTGGTACCCCTTCCACGCCATGTCCCGCATCAGCACGCCGAGCACACCGAAAATTGTCACCGCCCAGTAGTTCGGGTCCTTAAACAATGCGGTTTGCACCTGTCGCGTCGCACATCGTCCACAACCAAGAGCCAGCCGGAGAACAAAGTTAGCTGGTGTTGGAGGTGGCGTTGATGGCGCTGTTATCGCTGTGGCTGTTGGTTGCTGATTGCCGTTACGATTATCACGTACGTCTCGACGCCCAATCTGAAGACCAACCTCCATACCTCCGTAAACTACTGCTGTATTTCGAGATCACCGACTTAGTCTTACAGACGGACTGAAGGCTAGTAGGTTGACCTATGTAGTTCGACTCACCTAAGAGCGTCGACCAACAACAAAAAAAAAAATTGCCGAGCCACTTTCCCGTCCTGCTTGGCGAAAAACAGGGCTTGGTGAAGTCGTCGGACAAGGGTGTGAGTATACCCCAACTCACCCCAAACCACTCCCAATCGATCGTGGAGACGTAAACGCTGATGTTGAGGAGCCAGGACATAATGAACAGCAGCGCTGTCGATACCGTCAGCAGCGCGGCTTCCACCCAGTGCCATCGCTGGTGTTGTCGCGTGCGGGCAGGGCAAGGAAAAGCACGCGCGAGCGGGGGGTGGGGTTTCTCTCAGCACGACCGCTATCCAACGACATCGTGGAGACGAAAACGATGTGAACCCACAGACGGTGAGCAGCGGGGCAGCAGCGCTTACGTGCGTCCGTTGATGCAGTATGCCGTCCGTCGATTGACTACACACGGTTTTCGTGCGCGCTTGATATACTAGCAATAGGGGATGTCGGGAAGGGGCGGGGGG